AAGATACTTTGATATTAGAAATGTTTCTGCAAAGTCAGAATTCTGTTCGTAATTCTCAATTTTCCCCATCAGAACTCATTTTTATGCAATAAAAATACCATTTTTGGAATCAGGATCGAAAACTGAGTCTATTGGCTTTGCAGAAACATTTCTAATATCAAAGTATCTTAGGACACTTTTCTCTATTTTATATACATCAAATTGTAGCTTGAGAAATTCTCTATTGAATGGTATATTTATTGTAGTGACCGAATGAGAAATGTTGACATAGAATATCTCGGACTTTTTGCACGTAGGAGATCATTTTCCATAGCCAGAAGTATTTCTAGACATACTTGGGCCCAGAACGACTATTTCCGTATATATGGTATACAGAAATATAGCGAAGAAAAACAGTTTTCGAATGATATATAAGAGTCGTGAGGAATTGTGAAACTAAAAGAGAAAGAGCTAAGACTACGATCTATAATATATATCAGATGCCATAGAAACTTAATAAAATTTGATTCGATCAATTTATTCTGAGAGCGCTTCTAAGGTTTAGTAAGTTCCTAGAAATATTCCCCTCTTCCTTCCACATCTAGTCTTTGATTAGTCGATGAAATTCAGGCATCAGCCGAGTGAATTGCATAGCCATGGTACCGCTGATTATCAGAGAATGTTTTACTTTTAAAAACTGTTCTGCTCAACCGATTATATATTTCTTTTTTTATTTTATTTGTTTAGTAATGGTCATCCACTTGTGAGAAAAATACGACGATATATTTTTCGTAAACAGATCCTTGATCGTACCCTTTGACTTCAGGTATCCTTAGACTCCTGGTCATATCCTGTGACTTCGCAGTTATAACTCTATCCTCCTACAGGGTTCGGTAAGGGCGCCCTGTACATATCTAATTCAATTTTCCTTCTAGGAAGTAGTTTTTCATAAACTTTTGCTCCAAAAATCGAAAATTTATGTTGTTTTAGATGATAAAAGATGCTGCATAAAAATTGATTGCATTACACTACAATATCTCACGCATAAATATAGACAAATAGCAACTTTACATAATGAAGGAGCAGAGATTCACTTTTCCTTTTCTTATAGATAGTGAGCCTCTACTGGTGGTAATGGGTAACTGTATCACATGCCTACTCTTGAAAACATTTCATTCAGATAGACTTCCTTTTCTTAATTGTCGATAAAATACCATCGGTATACCTCGGTACTTTCGCATGAAAGAAACAATACTGTGCTGTATGCCAACCACAGAGTGTTAACTGTCGATTTGTTACTCAGTCACTGTTTTGTTTTTCAATACAGCGATACGTGGCCAGTATACCGCCGGTCGTTTTGCTGCTTTCAGCTAAAATGCCACAGTATACTGACAGTAGGGCGTGTGTACCGCAGTATATAGTCAATTTTCTTAAAAAAATTCGATATGAACGCAAGTTAACATACACATCTCTTTTTGTGTATTTATTAATAAAAGATGACAAAAAATTGCACATTCAATGGAAAAGTTTTTCACATACTAATAAGAAAAGCAACAATAAAACATTAAAACAATATACTATATTACAATAATAAAATGTTTATGGAGTCGCTTGAAATAATAAAGTTTACTGTTTGTTACTAGTGTCTGTAATGTTTACAATTGAAAAGGGTTAGGAAAGGCCATCGTGGATGATTGTAGATCAGTAGAAATTTGTTGAAAAGATGGTCGCATTCGAGGATCAGCAGACCAACATCTTTCTATCAAACTTCTTAAATTTGCCGGGGTTCTCGAATTAATTATAGGTCGATTTCCTGATTTAGCATGCAATACTGCAGCATATGGTCCTTTTCCATGAAAATTTCGATATTGATCTGAATATGGTTCTTCTTCTTGAATAACTTCATTTAACATTATACCAAAGGAAAAAGCATCACTTGAAAGCTCTGATGGTTTTGAACTACTTAATAATTCTGGTGCCATATAAGCAGCAGTACCACAAACAGCTGTATTAGCATCTTGAATAGCTGTAGAAGCAATAGAACTTGATGTTTTACCACGCAATGTTGCTAAACCAAAATCTGTTAGTTTAGCAGTATAATCTTTTGATACTAAAACATTTTGAGGTTTCAAATCCCCATGAACAATGTTGACAGTATGAAGTTGTATCATTCCAAGTACAATTTCAATAGTAAGTTTCTTTTTTATTCTACCATCAGTCATTTTTGCTTCTATTTCTTGGTTTTCATTATAATGAAGTAAATGTGATAAACTACCAAGTTCTACATATTCCATAATTATACATGGTGGGTCTGTTGTATATCCATACAAACAAACAAGAGTAGGATGTTCACCCAAATACGCCATTATTTTAAGTTCTTTTACAAATGAATTCTTTTCATGGCGAGTTAATTGTTGTAAATGTAGTTTTTTTATTGCAACAGTTTTTCCATTTAATGTTCCTTTAAATACAGTACCAAACGAACCATGGCCTATTTCATCTTCTGTCTTAATTTTCAATTGTTTATAATCAATCATTGGAATTGTGTTTGGAATTTGACTTGATATATCATTATCCTGTATATTAGAATTCATTGTTGAAGAAGAAAGATAAGTTTGTATTTTTTGTGAATCAGGTAAAATAGTATATTGAGGAGTTGTTTCAACATATTCTTGTCTAGCTCGTCGAACAAGATCACGAAATAGTTCATTTTCTAATTTTCTATTATAATATTCCATACGTTGATTTGGATGATAATCAACAGTGATTCTATTGTTCCATTTTAAATATTCTTGTGTTATAGCTTTTGTTATATCAATAGAACCATCTTTAGTTCTAGGTATCCAAGAGGGACATTGTCCTGTACTAGTACAAGCTTGATTTTTAACCCATTCTCTAGCATCTTTTGTTCTCATATCAGGAATTCCAATTTTTGTTACGGGAATATGTTCGGGTATTCCATTAGAAGATTTATATCCCATATCTAAACTTCCATCTGTTTTATAATGTAATTTATCAGATAATTTGGGTTGTAAATTCATTTTTTGAACATTATTAGAAATATTTGCTACTTCTTTTGATGAATTATAACGCATGTCAAGAGTACCATCTTTTTTCAAATGAATTCCACTAGAAGGACGCGTTACGGTGGAAACAGCCTGTTTGGACGATGAAAATCGCAAATCTAAACTTCCATCCTTTTTGTAATGAAGATCAGAAGAATTATTAAATCCACTGGAATAATTTCTAGAAGAACTATCAGAATATCCGGAGTAGCCTCCAGAATATCCAGAATAAGAACTACTAGAATATCCAGAAGCAACAGCATCTCTAGATGAGCTATATCGCATATCCAAACTTCCATCCTTTTTGTAATGATAACTCATGATAATTTCGTTGTACAGATCAATTTCAATGTATTGAAAATGTTAATAAATAGAAATTACTATTTCCACAATCTAAAATTGCACACGATATAAAAAAATTAGCTTATAGTGAGACTGTTGGGAGATTATTCCGACTACTATATGACGGGCTTCAGATTTAGTGGGAATGTTTTCTGTACTTAAACATACCTCTCCCTGTTTCTTTTATCAAGATTTTTTTGTTTTCGAGATAGACGTATCACAATATAAAGTTAAGTGTTCAGAAACAAAATGAGACATCTCCCAGCTCTCTACGATCTTTTCTCCTCGAGTTATACTTGTTTTGGTTATTAGAGGATAGAAAATTCATTATTTTTCACTTTCTAACTATGGTACATACAAACAAGCTAGCGTTTATTCTAATACAACAAAATGTTCTCTTTAAAATGAGATGTCTCTCAGGTTCCTGTGAACTTCCATTTAGGAGATACCCATTTCGTAACATAACAGGTGACATTTCTAATGAATCATAATTTTCTCAAAATAACTATTTTTTGGTACCAATCAAAGTTTAAGACAGCTATCCTTCTTTTATGACTAATCAAGCTGAAATTTTGTAGCAAAAAAATTTTGTTGTTGCTTCTATTCATTAACTATACGTATCGGCGAATATTAATTATGAAGAATTTAAATCATAGACATATACTAAAAATGTGAAAGATAGGAATTCCACAACATAGTGTATTAGTTAAGAACAGTAGTGGTAAATATCAATGTCCTGGTTGTGGAAAAATCTTTATGCCTCAAGGAATTACAATGCATGCTAAAGCGTGTGCTAAGGATTGGTGCAAAAAGAACAATATTAAATGAACAAAATAATATGATTGTAAACACCTATTGGAATTTGACTTTGTGAGAATGATGGATATCACTTAAACTGATTACAGAGGGTGGTGTCTTGATAAGTAACTTAGTTCAATTTTCAATAGAAACGAACACTACTTCCGTCAAATTGAACACTCTTTTCTTTTTGTGTTATTTTTTCCTGATGTTTTATTCTCAC